TGCTCTGTTGAGTATTCTCAATTTTATTTGTTTATTCACAAGTGCATATTACTATGAAACTATTGTAATAAAATATAAAAATGGATCCATAATTAAGTCACTACACTTAATTCTTTATTGTAGTTACTAATCTCTGCAAGACAAATCAAATTACTCCTGAATAGAAGTCCTTACTGAAAAGTAATCTTACTCGTAAGGAGGAGAAAATCTGTCGAGTGTTGATTTAAAATAGTGGTCCTGGGAAGTATGAATTGAATATGAAAATTTTAGAGAAATGCTATTGAGAGAAGCCCTGCTTGATTACTTAGCTGCATAAAACAAACAAATATAGAGAAGGAGATCTCATAAATCAAAGACAGTTCATTTCATGAAAGATGTAGCTGAGTAGGAAAAACAACCAGATGTAGTACATTAACAAGAATCATCAGCTTAACCTTTAGCAAGTGCTGCAGCTGTCATGATTGAATAATTGACAGGAGTTTTACATAAACATATTGATAAGCATAGTTTACTTGTACCAGAGGATAAAGAGAAGCTGATATAACTGTGTAGTCTAATTTCAAAGCTCACAACTGAGTAGGTTGATTTGGATGGAGTGAGTCCATTTAGAGCTAGATATTCATCGGAAAATAGTAAATTAGCTGAAATTAGTGAGAAGGATTTAGATTCAAGTGATGAGGATGTTTATGAGAAAATGTCAAAGGGAATAGATGATATCTATAAAGAATTAAAGAGTATTTTCACTGGAAATTTGCATACCCATTTACTTCTCATGTAAGAGGACATTTCTTATGAAAATTTATATTAAGTCCTTAAATTCTTACTTAAAATCCTTGTAGATGCAGATGAATTCACTTTCTTTATTCATCGAGATAAAGAATGGGAAGTTTATTAATCTTCTAATGATTCAATTAAAGATGTAACACCTGAAGAGGCTCAAAGGGTAACAGATGAATTAGCATATATACGTCCATTCTGTATTCATAGAATAGATCCAAAATAAAGATAGTATCCTTAAATAGAAGATACCTGTAAGACAATTGGTTATGCATAAACTTCAATTGTGAAGTTTTAATTGCAATTAAAGAATTATGAAGTTCTCTTTTGCCTTCATTGGGCTGACAAAGACAAAAAGAATATCAAAAGGAAATTTATTAAGTACTTTGTAGATTCACTATATAAGTTATGCTAATATGTATGGATTCAATAAGGATGTGACTCATTTGGCATAATTTTTGGTAGAAACCATAATTACAGCTAAAGTCCAATTCTTTAATCCACTTAGATTTGCTGATTAGGTTTAAGATATAGGAATCAGTTTCATGCGTATATCTAGGTTTTTGTTGGTTGAGGGAATTAAGAAAGTCTTAAGCATAAAATTTGAAGTTGATAAAGAATAAACTTTCTCAACAGATGAGAATATCAAAAAGTTTAAAGAATCTTAATGTGTTAAAATAGAATTAAAGGATTCAAATCCAGTTACTTTAAGAATAAAAGATATGGATTTGAAAAATGAATAGGATCAAAACTTATATTAAGTGGTAATCATTATATACTTATCTAATAGATCATTTAAATACAAGAGAAGTATGATGGTTATGTAAAATTGTGTTATGAAAAGTCAGCATTTTATAAATATTTTTTGAGGACAACAGATTCTTTATTATTTGATTTTAATAAATAAGGAGAATTGATTTTTCTGAGTAGACCAATTTCAAAATCATTAAAGTATAAGTTTCTTAAAACATATATAGAGAAAGATATAGTATAAACTTTGATCCTAAAGCAATTTTATATAATAAGATTTCATATTAAGATATCTTTGCTTAGAATAGTATCATTTCGAATATTGAGGTGAATATATAGAACATACATGAAAATAGAAGAAATTAATATTTAAGTAATTTGGAGAATCCTTAATTTGAAATTTTCTTAAAAGTTGTTGATAATGATTTTAAAGGGTTTACAGTAATTTTCCATGAGAATGAAGCTAGAAGATTAAAACAATATTTCATGGCTTTGAAAATAGACAATATGACAAATGATGTATAAAAAGAGGCAGAGGCTAATAAATCTTTAGAGGAAGACATTTAGAAATAAATATTAATTCAATACAATAAACATTAGACATTTAAATTTTTAAATTAATTAGATGAAACTTAAGATGTAGCAAATTCTATGATTGCATTATTTATTCCAGAAAATGAATTATAATAGATTAGACATCGTAAAACAGATGGTAGAAGTCCAGAATAATAAAGTAAAGATTTATAGAATGATTAATGGATTATACCTCCATAAAAGAAAAAGAAAATAGGATCTAGTGTTTATGTTAAATATTAACAATAATTAGAGACAGTAGATGCTAATCTATTTAAAGTGAATGATAGTGATTCTTAATTGGATCTATTTGAATTTAATATATTAATTTTAGATTCATCATAAGAGAAACATAGAATAGTATATAGTATTTTAGAAAAGAATGGTTTTATTTCTTAATATAATTTAAATAAACAATGTTTAGCTTAATTTTTGAGTGTTTTGTAAAAGAAATATAATAAAAGAAATAATTCATTTCATAATTATGATCATGGTATTGCTGTTATGTAAAGTGCTCATTATATGTTATAATGTGGAAAAGCAAAATAATATATTGATGATTTTAGGAGGATGTCAACTATAATATCAGGTTTATGTCATGATGTATCACATACTGGCAGAACAAATATTTTTATGATTAATAGTCAATCAAAATTAGCTACACGTTATCATGATTCTAGTGTAATTTTATCATTTTATTATATAAGCCTTTAGAATAACATCATGCTGCAACAACTATTTTTATGTTAAAAGATCCTTCACTTAATTTTTTGAACACTTTATCAAAAGAATAAAGTTAATAATTTAGACGAGTTCTTATAGATAACATTTTATATACTGATATTAAAGTGCACTTTACATTATTAAAAGATTTTGAAAGTAGAATCAAAGATGAAGTTACAAAACCATTTGGTACTGGAGATGATGATTTAAAATTATTAACAGGAATGATAATACATACAGCAGATTTTAATGGAGGAGCTAAAGTTTTTGAGATATCAAGAATATGGTCAGAGAGAGTTAATAAAGAATTTAGTGCATAATATGATGAAGAGGGTAGATTAGGAATTCCATAAACACCATTTTTGAAAGATCTTGATAAATTGCATATTATGGCTAAATCTGAAATGGGATTCTTTAAAGTGATTGTTAGACCTTTATGGTTCACTTTGAATACCTTCTTTGTATATAATTATCACCCTATTTTAGGATGGATACCTATAATAAAGTATAACAAATCTTGATAACACCATTATAAGTTGGGAAAAAATATATCATGCTAATCTTCCTAAAGAAGAAAAACAATAATAATAATTATGAATGTTATTTGTTAAATATTATGAAATCATTTTACAAAAAAATACTAATTTAACAATTATATATCTTATAATTTCAATAGATACTGAAGTAAAATTAGTAAATGTCCAAATAAATGATATGGAAATGTAAACCATATCTTTATTTTCCTTCTATCTTTTTTTGTCTTTTTTCATTGAGACATCTATTTATTCATCCTTTTTTTATTGTTCCTCTTTTATCTTAGCCTCAATCTTTCCTATGATTCTCTCCTTCATTGATTTGTAATAACATAAAGAATTATTGATCTATTAATTGGCAATACAAAATTATCAAGAAGTTAAAACAAATTTTTAAATGATTTTATAGGACTTGCTATAACAAATATGATATAATAATTTATTAATCTATATGATATAAGTATTTTTTTGTTTCATTCATTTTATGAACTCATAAGATTTTAGAATATGATTATAGTGTTTATTATCTTCAAAATTATTTATTTAATAATGAAGAACATCAATTAATTTCAAAGTTTGGATTGCCAATTAGGTGATTAATATGACCCTACAGCTAAAATTGTTGTTTCATCCAGACAAGAGAAGGATGATTACTTATTACCCAAGATTTGCAAATAAATTGAATTCTACTTAGGAGATGCTAATCTATTGCATGATAACTATTTTAGACGATTACTCCAAGAAAATTAGGGTTGGATCCCTTTGGAGGCATTCTTATAATGTAATAAGATAAAAGTTATACTTCGTAATTATCCCAAAGGATCGAAGCAACAAGTGCTCATTCTAATATATGCATTGAAAAGAAGTGATATATTGGAGGTTGATGAAGATAGAAATATGGTAAAGAGAAAAATTCCATTTGTTGATAATAGTCATTTTATGGATGAGAGAACTATTTATGTTGAAAACATTCCACGAGTAGTAGATCAATAATTGTTGCATTAGATTTTTAGCAGAGTAGTTTTTGCTTTTATAATAAAATAGATAGATAAGTAGGTTTTACAAGTGAAGAAATTCGACACGTATGGATTTATAACCTTTCTTAACATCGAGAGTGTAAACAAGGCCATTCAAGTTTTCAATAACTTAATACCTAAAGAGATTATGGAGAGGGAAAGTAAGGAGAGTCTAATTTAGTAATGATCAAAGGCGGATTACGAGTGATGAGTAAGATCGATTGGCTCAATTACAAAAATTAGTGCAAGTAGTTGAAATAGAAAAAGAATAATGAACTGATCGAGGAGCCTGTCAAATTGAAAATTAAGCAGATTTAAACTAAAGATCTAAAAATTGAAGAGTTACGTATTGCTGTTGGACATGCTGTCAATCCTCGACTTGTTAAACATATTAACATTGATTCTGAAACATGCGTAATTGAGTGTGCAAATCAATTTGCAGCAGATTCAATCAAACTCAATATCTTTCGCATCCAAAACTATGATGACAGATTCTATAATTCCTTATTGGACATTTCATGATCATAATATCAATATTCATCATTGTTCCTTCTTTTCAAAATACATTTTACCATCAGCATTTCTCCACAAAGACTTAATATATTTATAATATAGAAAATCATATATATCATTAAGGAAATCTTCTCTTTAAATATATCTCTAATTCCTTTATTTGTATAGGTTTTATCATATAAAAGTCCATTCCTGAATTTAATGCTTTTTGTTTGCTTTCTAAATCAGCATAACCAGTATTTGCAATACAGATTCCTTTTGGAATTTGATTTTCATGCATCATTTTCTTCAAATTTAGAACTGTATCAAATCCATCCATTATTGGCATATTGAGGTCGAGAAAAAATAAAACATAACCATTATTTTAACATTGTCGACAAGGTTCCTTCATTTTTTAAAGAGTCTTCTTTAAAGCTTCTTGCCCATTGAAAGTGAAATCACAATGTGCATTAAATCTATGTAAAATCAATTGTAGACTTTAAATATTAAAATATTCATCATCTACAATTAAAACTCTACTGCAACAATTGCTTCCAATACTGAATTTAACTATATCTGACTTAAAGCTAGCTTAAAGAGAAGGAATCATAATTTTGGACTCTTCTTATCTTGATTCAATTTCGTCCTCTTCTAATTACAATTTCTGAGTTAATCCAAATAATGATTTAGTATCAGTTGATTTGAGACATCTAACTTAGTTCTAAAATAAACTTTTTTCTCTCCATGTATCACCATTTTCATCTTTTTGATTACTATTACTTTAATGATACCCTTTATGTGAGCTATCAGACATTGGTTATTATTCTAAATAATAGGTTTAATTTAACACTTTCACATAAGTTTGACTAGCTACATACACACTATCATTATAGAGTTACTAAGAATTTGATATTGTAAAGAAGAATTCACTTCCCTTTTATAATTCACTAGTAAATTGAATTCCATGCTTTCCATTCATTTTCAATACTATTGCATTTGAAATACTTAAACCTAATCCACATCCAACAGAATTATGAGAAATTCTTAATAATTTTTTATTGTCATTCAATAATTTTTGTAATTTAAATTATTCAGCCTAATTCATTCCAATACCATTATCTTTCACTTTAACCTTAATTTTATCCTTATAAAAAGCAATTGATATTGTGATGATACCATTTTCAGTGAATCTTATAGAATTACTCATTAATTGATATAATACTTATTTAAATCTATCTTGATCATTATAAACAAGAAGTTATTATGGACAATTTATAATAATTTAATTATTTCTTTATGTTGTTTATTAATTCAGTAAATATTAAATCTCTTAAATAATTTCATAGGGACTGAATTCTTAGAGTCTCAAAGCAAATTACTTTAATAAAATAGTATTGAAATCTCTCACATTCTATAATACATAAGAGAGTAATTTAGAGTTGATATAAATAGGTTCAATATAAGTTGCTTTGACTTGTTCATTGATTAATTCATTATCCATTGCTTCAGATGAAACACTCAAAATACAATTGAGAAATGTTCCAAATTCATGAGAAATAGATTAAAATATATTCCCTAATAATTCACTTGATAAAGATTCATAAGTTTGCTTTGAATTGTTTGAGTTATTATAGAAATTATTTGTATTATTTAATTTAAAGTTATCAGGATAAGTACAAACAGATTTATTAATTGATTTCATTTAAGGTTCAAATTGGATTATTAAATAATCTATAAAGTTGTCGCTTAAGACAAAAAAGTTTAATTTAATATGAATAAGATTTTTATTATCTAAATCATTTACACTGAAAAAAGAATAATAGGAATTCATATCAGATAATAGAGATGTCAAAATAGTTCGAATATCTGGCTTCATAAATGGAAATTTAAATGGAGATGATATGATATTTGTATCATTGTCTGATAATAATTTTACTAGATTTTATGAAAAGGTATCGCATTTTACATCTAACAAATGTCTAATTGCTTCATCTTCATCGCATTCCATCAATAAACAGATATCAGATTAATTATGTAGAATTTTAAAATGATCATTTAGCACAAAGAATTTTTGATCTGTCATCCAGGGCCTCGGTTACTGATCACTCATACATTAATTTAAGAATTTGCATTTTTGCACTCAAAGTCGTCTCTTATTGTACACATTAGTTTGTTTTGGCTATATTTGTCTTTTTCTTTTTTCGATTTATAAAGTATAAAAATCCAAGTAATGCAATACATTCTCCTAATGTTAACATCAATCTCCAAACTTCCATATAATTTTATAAAATTTAAGATACTATGCCCCAATACAATATAAGTATACTCTATTTATAAAACATTTTTGTGTCATATAATAGCTCAAATTATATCAATATGAGCATCTAAAAATTTAAAAATTACTCTACATATAAATAAGCTAAATCTTAATTATCTTATTACAATAATCCTAAGACTACTCCATCATTCCCTACTCCTATTATCCATAATACTTTTTTATCTGAATATTTTATCAAAGCCACTTTAATTATAAGACCAACATAGTGTAATAAGATTGGAATCCATAGTATACTATTATTGGTATTCAAACTTGTCCAAATTAATTCAAAAGAAACGAATGCCTCAAAATAAAAGAAACTAGCAAAGTTAATTCTTTGCATATTTTCAATAATGAATAATGAATAATTAAATTAAATTTCTTACTGATAATAAATACTTCAAATATATTGCTGCCTACAATATTGAATTTATCTTTGAATCAAATATTTCATTGTCATTTTAGATATATAAAAGTAAATTTCAATTTGAATTACATTTTATAATAATCATTTAGAATTCTAATAAAAAAAATTTATTATTATTATTTAAAAAAAATAAGAGCATAAAAATTTATTAAAAATCTTCATTATTTAGTTTATTAATACATCTTAAATAAGGTGAATTATAAAATATAATTTAATACACATTTAACATTCATAATAGAAAATATAAAATTTATTTCTCTCATATAACAATTAATTGAGTTATTTATCTTACTTATATTTCTTTTTTTTTATGTATTTTATAAAAGAAAACTTAAACATCAATTTTTTAATATTCAAGATGTATAAATTTGATATAAATTTAAATAATTTTTATTAGATATTATCTAAACTTAATACACTGATTAGGAATATTTAGATTTTTAATTAATTAATTTATTATTATATTATCTAAAAAAGAAATGCTTCGTTTAGCATTCAAGCAATAAAAACGTTAATCTTTCTAGTAAAAAATGAAAATATGTGAATTATTACTCGAACGTGGTTTGAAATTCTTTGAGTTAGGTAAATTAGAGTTTAGAATAATATATTAGAACAATTTGGAAATGCAATAGATTAATTTGAGATTTGTATGTCTGTATTTGTAGATGCTAAAACTCCAAAAAGATGGGAAGATACTACATATGAAGAATTAACTCAATAAAAATAACCAGAATAATCTCACATAAACAGTAATAAAAATAATTTAAAGAGTAAAAGGACTTCGTCTCAAATTATTTGAGAAGATGGCAGAATGTTATTATAGACAATTAGAGTAGGGTGCATGTACAAAGATGTGTGATTATTGGTTACAAATGAGTCCTTAATGTATAAATGCTTTGATTTTACGTGCAAAAGTAAATATTAGATATAGTAATAGTCCCGTTTTTTATCAGATAATATTACATAAATTGATTGTCAAATGGCATTTAAGGATCTTAAATTTGCATAGCAACTTGATCCACATAATGCAGCACTAGCAAAGTTTTATGAGAAGGTGAAGGCATAATTATTAGCATATAAGGAGTTAGAATATTAGAATTACACAGATTTATAAAGAAAATAATTGGAGTTGATTTAACAATATAGGAAATAAGAAGATGATGAGGATGTTCAATAAGATTTTATGGCTCATTTAGCTTATTAAGATTATGATTAAGAATTGAGTTATGAATTAGATAATACAAAGCCTATTCCAATAGAAGTATCAGAATTAGGAAGATTCATAGAAACAAGAGGGATGGAGATGGTGAAAATATATTAATAGAATGGTTAATTGAAAGAGGCAGAAGATTTAAAAGAGAAATTGTAAAAAGCAATTGCAGCAAAGAAATAATTGGAAAAAATATCTTAATTGGATTTTAATAGACCTAAGAAAGTAAGTATTTAATTAAATGAGTATTAGAAATTATATGAATTTGCTTAAAAATATGGTATAAATTTACTGGATCCTCAAGTACAAAATGAGTTTAAGAGAATTCAAGAGTAGAATTTAGAGGATATTAGAGAATGGTTGAAACAAAACTAATGGAATTATACTGATAAGGCTACTTAAATGTAAGAATAGGAATTGGCTAGATAAGAATTGGCGAAATTGTAATTCAAGAGGAAGATAATTCCTTAGAAAGTAAGATTTAAGATTTATAATAGCACAATAAAAATAAATTTAATAAAAAAGTATAACCATCAATTAACAATACTCAAATTAATGGTTAAATGCCAGTGACTATAAATAATAACATCACTTATAATTAGACTTTTAATCAATGTAATAATGTAATTAATAATTCAAGTATGATATAATTATTATTATTTATAGTGAATGAATAAAGTGATGAACAATTAGCAGATTGCAATTGCTTTATTAATTTATCTATTTTACTTTTAGCCATAGTTGCCATATTAGCAGCCATTTATTATTCATTTTTTAAATGAATTAAATATATTAAATAATATAATTTGCTTAAACATCAAAACACTAATTTACTATTAATTATATATTTATAATGAGAACTAAAAGTCATAATAAGACCAAATCTTTACACACTGTTTTAGAAATTTCAAATACTAAAACATTTTTTATAAGCCGAATCACACAAAGATCAAATATTAAAAGTATCATTCCTCCATTAATACTACCTTAAATGACTTAGATTTAGATTCCACCTACTTTAACTGGAAGAGTTGTAGCAAGAAAAGTGATTAAGGCTACTTAATTAAAAACTTAAGAGAGTGTTCCTGAGAATGAGATTAAATAATAACAATCAATATTTAAATTAGTAGCATCTGCTGAATTTAAAAATATCATTACAGAAGAGAAATCAAAGAAAGAGGATGATAAAAATTTTACTTTAGATGGTCCTTTACAATTTAAAAAAGAATGGAGAAGAAAAATCTTTATAAGGAATCATAATTTATAAGACTCATATTGTTAAATAAATGATAATCTGAATATCTAAATGTTTTTAAAAAAGATCAGATAAATTATTACTACTAGTCATATATAACATGATGATATTCATACAAATGAGAATAGTTTTTTGTCAGATAAGTTCAAAACATAAATGACAAGTCCTAGATTTACATTTACTAATCATCTTTCTACGATTTAGTTTTAAAACTAGGCAACTTAGTTGTAGAAGGCAGGAACAATTGTATCTCAAGTTTTAGAGGCTATTGAAGAGAAAAAAGCTGAAATTCTTTAACCATTACCATAAAATAATCGTAGAAAATTAACTATATCTGTATGTAGTCCAGAAAACCAAATTGGAATATACTCTTTTAGTATACCAGATTATGGATAACGATTATAAGAATAAGATGAAATTTAAGAATATACTGATAAACCTAAACATGTATTGAAGTAAGCTTTGTAATTTGTAAGTAATTACAATTTTATAGTAGATCTCTTCATAACCTAAGAAAATGACAACAAAGTTTTCTAAATCTATTCTGAAGATTGTTGGAGTAATAGAAGAAAAGAATTAATAAGAAGATGTTCATCAATATTATAATATATAAAAAGTAATTATTTTATGAAGTAAGACTAGAAGGTTCATGAAAATGTATTTACAAAATAAGATGTCTCGTACATTCACTAAATTAGAGGAGAATATCCTATTACATTTATAATTAATATAAGAGAAAAGAGGTTCAATCTCTTTTTCAAAATCAAATGAGAGTCAATAATATAGCAGAGTCTATTCTTGGTGTACAAATCCTGCTAATAGTAATAATGAATCACTTTCAAATCCAACATTCTAAATAGAAATTGAATCTAATCGTTTCCTATTATCTTAAATCTATTAATATGATTATTCATTTGATAATTCAGAATATGTTAATCAAAGTTTTAATAGCAGTGATAATCAATTTTAAGATATGTTGTAATGTTCATCTTAAATTAAAATTGTTAATCTAAGAAATCATATTTAATTTATAATAAATAGTTTAGATTGTGTAGATAGAAATATGATGTTACATGATCCTAATTTCCTAAATGATACATAATTTATTAATGATAGAATTAATCCTATTCTAAATGATGATCAATTAATAAGAAATATTAATTCTTTAATGAGATTTCTTAAAAGAAAAGATTAAATTAAAGTTTCAAAATTTAGATTTCTTCAATATAATAGTATTTTAACAGGAGAATTTGAAGATCAACATGAAATCAATAATTTAACAACTAATTATGGTTTAATTGAAGTAGAATAATCTGAAGATCAATTATAAAAAAGATAATCTACTATTAAAATTGATATAGCTAAAATGTTTATCAAAGCTGCTAAACCAATTTAAAAAAAAAAATCCAATCCAGATTAATCTCCATCTAGTGAGAGATCAAATTAAAAGAATAATTCTAAAATTATATCATCTCCTCGTCATCAAACTATAAATTAATAGAATAAACCTGTTAAACTATTATTAGAAGCTACTTCAAGTCAAACAAGTGTTTTAAGAAGAAGAAGTGATTCTCCATAAGAAGATAATAGTCTTAAAGAAAATAGTAATAATACTAGTTAATCTAATAAAATGAAAGCTACTACTACTTAAACTATTCAAAATACTACAGCTCCTATCTCATAAAAAGAAGATCTAATTAAATAAAATCCTACTAAAAGTCAAGAAAGAAGAAATGCTGTTATGATATCTTCAATGACTAAACACTCTTTATAAATGAGAACATAAATTACTGAAGCTCGTAGAAGATAATCTATTCCTATTATAGATATTGCTAAATTATTAATAGAAGAATAAAAATTATCTGAAGTATATATTTTAAATATTATTTAATAGTTAGAAGAACTCTTTGTAAATAATCCTAATCTATCTATCAATTAAAAATTATAAAATGGAAATACTTATTTGATAATTGCAGCCTAAACTGGAAATGTAGAAATAGTTGAATTACTTTTAAATAAGGGATCCTTTGTAAATGTGTAAAATGTATTTTTTTATCTATTATTTTTTTAAGAATGATGGTGATACTGCTTTGCATAAAGCGATTGCATATAATTACTTTAATATTGCTGATATCTTGATTTCTTAGGGGGCTTTAAACTTGAGAAATAAAGAAGGTTTTACTCCTTGGCAATTTGTATAATGATTAAATATTTTCTATATATTTTTATTTTATTACTAATTTAAATATGGGTAAATTGAATAAAGAATAAAGGCTTGAAAAATAATTAGCTAAAAAAATAGAGAAATAGGATGTTTATTAATAAGTCAAATTATAAGAGACTGAAGAAGATGATTTTAATGTTGCTAATTTGATTTAAACACTTGAAGACTAAGGATAATAGATAGATAGTGTTAAAACTCAATACTTAAGAGTATAAGAAAAAGCAGTAAATCTTATCAATTAAATATAGAGGATTGTTTAAGAACCAGAAACATAAGCTGAAAGAGACTAATAAGAACGTAAAGTAGCTGCAACAGTAATGAAGTAAGATATAAAAAAATGGTTACCAATTGTTAAGAAAAATAGAGAATCTGAGAGAATTGACTTTACTAAATAAAGGAATGTTTAGATATCTAAGATGTAAAATATAAAAATCTAAATTAGTTCTGATACATCAAATGCTTTATTAAATAATCATTTAGGTGTTAAATTATAGAATGCTATGGAAGAAGTTGAGAAAGTTGAATAAAAATAAGAATTGAATGGATAATCAAATTAATAAAAGAGTAATCTACAATTCTATAATGATCTTAAAATGAAGAAGATTTCATCAATAAAATCTAAAATATATAAATAAATAAAGAAAAAGAAAGGTAATAAAGAGAAATTGAAATTAATGGCTTAATTAACACCTGCTGAAAGAAGAAAAGAAATTGAAAAATTAAGATTATCAAGAGCAAAAGAAAGAATAACACTTAGACATTCAACTAAAAATAAATTTGTTTCTTAACTTTTAAGATTTGGAGGAGACAAGAAATCTCTAAAATAACAATAATCATTCTTAAATAATATTAAACATTAATTATTAGCTAAAGCATAACTTAATGAATTAGAAGATGGTGAATTTGATGAAGAAAACTTTAGAGAATAAGCAATATCATAATTGGAATAAGAATTATAAGATATTGAAAGAAGAGAAAAAGAGAAATAAAATAATTTTGGATTCTTAGATAAATAAAAGAAATAAGATTTATAATAATCTAAATCTATAGCATAGAAATTATTAACAATGCTTAAATCAGGAAATGATGATGCTATATAATTAGATGAATCAGATAATCAAGAATAGAATAGTGATGATAATTATGAACAAAATGTAAATGGTGATAAAGATAAATCTAATATAAATATTGAAAATAATGAGTTTAATGGAAGAGCTAATTTTGTTAATGAAACTAAATAATTAACTGAAACTTAGAAAAAGAGAATAGATGCTAAAACTTCTTTATCTAATTATTTAAATTAAGAACCTGAGAAATTATAGTAATAAAATAAATAAGAAAAGTAATTAACTATTTAAGATGAAAAGAAATAATTAATTGAAGGATTAAATATAAAAAATATTAAATAAAAATATGAAAAATAAGTGAATTAAAAATTAACTAATTAAGATTTAAAGAAATTATAATCAGATCCAGATGAATTATTATAATAAAATTTAGCTAATTTTAATTTAGTTTTGGATGAAGATGAAGTATAAATAAATAATATATAATTAGAATGAAAATGCATTTATAGATGAGAAAATAAAAGATATGGAAGAAGAATTACCTCCTGAACCAGCAAATACAAAAGGATGGGGATCTTGGGCTGGATTTGGTATCAAAGAAAAAAAACCTTTAACTTAAGAATAGATTTTATAGAATAAAATAAAGAAAATTAGAGAAATATAAAAGAAAAGACAAGATGCAAAATTAGATAATGTTATTATTAGTGAAAAAAGAGATACTAAAGTATTTATATATATATCATAATTATTTAGTTTTCTAAATATTTAGTTCCTAAATTACCTAGTGAATTTACAAATTCTGAATAATTTGATCAATTACATACTTTACCTCTTGGTCCAGAATGGAACAGTCTAACTAGTCATTAAGCATTAACATAACCATAAATTATTACTAAAGCAGGTGTTGTAATTAATCCTGTCAAGATTCCATAACAAATAAACAAACTTATTTGATGATGTATGTGTTTATGTGTATATTAATTATATTTTCATGTCGAAATAACCATTTTGGAAAAGGTTATTCTGTGTGTGTACAGGAGAAGAGAGTAATGAATAGCGTCCTAAATCTCGATCTGTTTAAACTCCAAATTAAGGGCATTATTAGTAATAGAAATAGATGTAAAATCCATTGGAAGAGAGTAATATCATGAGTCAATTGAAATTTATGAATTAGTAAATTGAGTCACCATATCATTTGATCACTGATAACACTTAACAATGTTGTTTTTTAGTTCA